GCCAAGAGCAGCTGCTGAGACCCTTGGCGTCTGGCTGGGTGACGATGCCCAGTGAGCGCTGGGCGGCAGGGAGGAGGGGCGCCCTCTACAGGCCGCTCTCCCTCACGCGCCCTGACCAGTGCCAGGGCCTCTCCTTGACCCCATGCAGCCGTTCTTGCTGCTCTCCTTGAATCTGTCTGCTTTACAGCCTCTGCATTTGCTTCTGGCGGCCCCAGACAAACAGCCACAGACTTGGCAACTCCAAAACCACGGGGCCTGTTCTCACCACTGAGGAGGCCGAAGTCCCCTGCCCAGGGTCGCAGGCCGGCTCCTTGACGGCCAGGGGTCCTCAAGAGAGCCACACTCTGTCAAGGTTCTACAGACACCATCGTGCCACGTGCACGCATCACCGCCAGCTCTCTGTGGAGCTCCCTGGGTCTCCAGCTCTGCTCTGCAGGCGCCCATGAAGCTCTCTCCATGCTGGCCAGGGAGGGACACACGGCACACAGGACACAGCACTGCACAAGCGTCCCACTCGGTGACAGTGGTGACTCACCCCAGGCAAGGGAGCAAGGAAACAGTCAGCACCAAGGACAGTGAGAGAAGGGGCGGGCACCCCCCTAACACACACACACACACACACACACACACACACACACACACACCTCTCACCCTCAGACCTGATCCCATTGGCCTGGCCCTGTCAGGTGTCTGTCTGTGAGCCAATCCCAATGGCCAGTGAAATGGAGCATCTTGATTGGCCCTGAGCCTGGGGTGGAGCCATACCCAGGCAGGGAGGAGGCTCAGCGAGGGGTGATCGGGAACCCCAAGCCACTGCTTCCATAGGAGCGGAGTAGACCCTGCAATGTCTACCCTGCATCACAAGCCACACTCCAAGGGTCATTGAGAAGGACGCCTGGGTTCTGGGTTTGCCCAGTCTCACGGAGGGGCCGTGTTGTGCTGTCCTGCGCTGCCTTCAATCTGAGCCCATGGCAGGAGCAGCCCTCACCCTAACCCTAAGCCCAGAGCTTCCCCCAGGCCCCAGGTGAACCGCATGACCCAGGGCTGCCAGAGCTGCTCACCAGCCTTTGCCTAATTCCTTGGCCTGGGCAGGAGGGGTCCAGGGCTCCCCCTGCCACATGGAGGGCGGTGTCACCCTCCTGCCTGCTCCTGCTGCTCCGCGTGGTGTCGGGGTAGTGTTGCGGTGGGCCTGGCCCTCGGGCCTGGGGAGCGATGGCCCCGAAAGCACAGGGCATGTGTCCAGGTGCACCGGTTTCTGAGGGCCCAGGGAGGACAGTCACTGACACCTGCCTGCCTAGCTGGAAAGGAGAAGGCTTCGTGACCATTTTCTCCTCCACAGAAAAGCTGCTCCAAGTTCGGAGCAACTCTGACTGTGCAGAGAAATCAAAGCGCTTTCTCCAGTCATGGTCGCCTCCTGTTCCCAAGAGGCGGCTCCTTCAAAGACCAGGCCCGTTCTGATTCAATCAGGACCAGCTGCCACCATCTCCAGCTGCCCCCCAGTGGGGGGGTGCTGAGCCTGCGCCCCTCACCCCCACCCTCTCCAACCCAGGCCCTGAGCAGGAGGGAGCCGCGGGAGGCAGTGCCTCTGTGAGAGAGGCGTGTGGAGGGGCCCCCAGGCCTCCCTCAGCGACAGACAGTGGGAGGGGGCGGTGTCCAGTTACAGGTCAGGAAGGGCAGCAGAGACCTGTGTGTCCATCGCTCTGTGTCTCTGTCGCCCTGTCTCTCCCTGTGTCTCTGTCTTTCTTGCTCCTTCTCTTCCTGGCTGCCCCCCTCCAGGACCTTGGGCTCCATCTCCTGGCTTGTGACTGTGCCCCTCTCAGCTCCTAGCACACTGCGAGCCGAGTCACCTGCCTGGGGACCAAATGCCCGCCTGGGGGGGCAGCGGGCTGTGGGCCCACCTGTGGACTTGGTGCCCAACCACAGGCTCTGCAGCAAACAAGGGAAGCTGGGCTTCTCTGCTGACTCCGTAGCCCCACAGTTGGTCCAGCTGCAGTATGGGTTGGGGTGCAGGGTTAAGGTGGGGTTCAGGGTGTGTCAGCCCCATCTCTGGGCCATGTCCTGGAGCTGCTGTTGGCTTTCTGTGGCTCAGAGACCTTGGCCTGAACAACCGCTCCCTGGCCAGCATCTGGAGAAGGGGTGTCCACAGCACCATCCCCACCCAGGGGTCTGGCTCAGCCATGAACCTGACGCCCCAGGACACCCCCTTTCATGTGTTAGGCCCAAGCCCAACTCCACCCTGCTACTCTGCCTCGGTTTCTCTGCTGTGAAATGGCCATGCTGGTCCCTACCCAGGAGCTGGCGCTTGGGGCAGGGAGTTGGGGTAAAACTCCTACCTGCTCAGCTGCTGTGGTCTAAAGAGCACAGGTCACTGGTGTCCAGGGTCCTCGTCCCCAGCACAGGGCAGCATTCACTGCTCCCCACATGGTGCGGGTGGTCCACATGGTGTATTCCGCCTCGCACACCTTTAGGGGGACTAGTGAGCCTCACTCCAAGGTGGTGACACTGACCACTGCGTGGCTGTCCTGCATGGTGTCCCTGGGCACGGCCTTCAGCAGCTCTCTGAGTGACCTCAGTGGTGGGAGGTGGTGGGCACCACCAGCCTCCCTGGGGTGCTGCCCCCAGGGGGTGGGCTTGCTCCCCCTGGCAGCACCAGACCGGCCTCAGCCCAAGGGGATGCTGTGTTTGCAACGAGATTTCACCAAACACCAACACTGGGCTGGGCGCACCGCTCCCCACTGACTGCAGAGGGAGGCGTGGTGTGTTCACACGGGTGGAGGAATGCCTTCTCCCGCAACAGGCAACAGCACGCTAGCATCGATTTCAGTTAACATGGGATGAAAAGCACTTGTGTTTTTCTCAAGTGGCTGATAAATTGGATTCTGGAGCCAGATTGTCTGGGCTTACATCCCAGACCCGGGCTTTGCCATCAGTGCGACCTTGAGCTGGGCCTTGTTCTCCTTGCTGCCTCAGTTTCTCCTGGGGGAGAGCTGGGCAGTGCGTCTGTCTCCATGCAGATGCTGTTAGAATCAGTCATCAGTGGCCCTGAAGGTCAGGAGCTTGGCAAGCCTGGCACAGCACGGTGGGTTCTGCGTTCCGACGCCAGGGCTGGAAGGCACGCTGCACTGGTGTTGTGCGCAAGGGGGCTGCAGTCTTTCCAAGGGGGCTCAGAGTGGGCATTTATCAAAAGCAGACCTGGGTCCCCGGCCCAATGCCTCGCCAGAGTCTCCTGACAGACAGCAAAGTGCATTCCCGGCTCCGTCCAGACAGTGACTGGAGGGCTGGCCTCGGCCCAACAGCGGGCCCTTCCGGGTAGCACATACTGGAGGCCTCGAGGCAAATGTCTCGGCAAGAGGCAGGCTCAGCCGGGAAGCAGAGGCAGGGCTCTCAGCCTCCCAGCATCCCCGAGGGGCAGAAAATCTCCGCGCAGCGAGGGCTGGCACCGCAAAGCCGGGAAGCATACGCTGGAGAAGAGCATGCTGGCCCTGGCGCCAGAATCCCTGAAGCCGCCACACAGTCACACACACACACAGACAGAATAGGTACATACATACTGTGCACGTGGACACACGTGGACACAGAGAACATGTGACAACACAGAGAGCATACACACACCAACACACACGCACACCGAGACACGGAAAACGTGCACACAGTACACATGGACATGACACGTGCACACACTCAGACACAGGCCTACACATGTGCACTCAGCATATACAGGCTCACATGCACATCACACACACATGCAAGATACGTGTACATGCATGTAAGGGACACATGCAGACACAGAAAGCACAGGCACATGCACACAGAGGCACATGCACACAGAAAAGCATGCATGTAAAGACACACACATGCACAGAAGCACATGCACATGCAGAGATGTGTGCACAAATACGTGTACAGACATGTGCACAATGGATAGACACACATGCAGATACCGCACACATATGCAGACACTGTAGACACATCACACACACGCACCCACACTCTTGTACACACACATGCACACGTGTACACACACAGCCAGGAGCTGGGAAGCCCAGGGCAGTGTCTTACTCATTCTGTGTATCAAGGACTCAGCACAAAGTGACCTCCTAACACCATACCATCATTTATTCACCCTACAAATATTTACTGAGCACCAACTACGCGACAGAAACCGTTGCGGGCCCTGAGGACGGAATGGTGAGCCGGGCAATCGGAAACTCAGCCCCACGCCCAAGTCACCGGCTGCCTTGTGACTCTGGCCTTCCATCTGCCCCTCCCAGGAACCCAGGCTCACAGTAGAAAACGCCAGCGTGAGGCCAGACCAGAGCGGAGGGCAGCCTGCTTCTCTCAGGGTGCGGGGCGCGGGCCTTGGGACTCGCAAGGGGCCTCCCCCTGGGGCCCTGGGGCGGGTCTGGTGCACAGTAGGTCCGGTCTTTTCCTCTCTTCCCGTCGCTGGGCCCCAAGGGAAGAGGGAGGGTCCCCGGGGCCGGGTAGGGGGCGGGCAGGTCTCCCCGCGCGCGCACGAAGGTCCCC